GCCTGCCACTACAGACGTGGCCAACAGGACAGTGGAGGAGCACTGGGGTGGAGTGGGACCTTGGCCATGTGCCAGCTGAGCTGCCAGGGGCTGCCAGCCTTAATCTTGCACTCTGCACCTCCATGACAACACCCTAGCTGCTATAGGTAAAGGTGGCATCTGGTAAGCTGTGCTCACCCTGTGATCTCTCCAAAATGACACAATGTGCTGGAGGAGATGCATCAGCAGCTGCATTCAGGCCAGGCTGGGCGTGGGTTGGGACATGCTTCCCTGTCTCCATCACCACAGCCCTGGAACTGGTCTGCACTGGGGACTCTGTGAGGACCAGCAAGCTTCTCCAGGGCACTGAAGATATGGGGTGCCCTGGAGGTGCCAGGCTGAGGTCACCTGTGGTAACAAGCAGGAGGTCACAGTGGCTGGCACCAGCGGGCTCCCTTCCAAGTCAGGATCTGGACCAGAGGACCAGATACTGGCTCCTCTGCCCCAGTGCCTGGCATCCCCAGCTGGGTAGGGTGTGACAGAGGGGACACTTCAGGCTGAAAGGGACATGCCACTCTGGGTTCCCTTTTGGAGCAGTCTGGCTTGGTTTTGTGCTGCTGTCAGTTCCCTGCCAGGGCTGGGCTAAGCTGGGGAGGCAGCCTCTGCCACCTGCTCACACCCAGGCTGTAATCCACAGGCAGGAGGAAAGCAGCTGGCGGAGCCTCCCTGACCTTCAGGTGGGATTAGTCCCCATGGGAACAGTGGGGAGCAGGCAGGTGAGCCACAGCTCCCCAGGCAGTCTGTGGGGACTGAGCACACCCCCATGCTGGGGACAGCCAGAGCTGGGTGGGGAATGGTGGCACAGGGTGAACCTGTGTCCCTGGGAGCATCCTTGTCCTGGTGGGTTGTTGCAGGTGCACCTGCAGAGCTGTGGGTGCCGCAGGGCAGAGTGGACAGCCGCAGTCCCAAGGAGGGGCTGAGCAGCATGCCTGGGATGGCCCTGGTGTCAGTGGCACGGAGCAGCTGGCAGCCCACGGTGTGCGTGTGCACCTGCGTGGGAGCTAATCCCAGAACATCTGCCAGGCTCTCTGCCATGCGAGGAGCTTCTGGCTGCAGGGATGGATGGCTGTGCACAGGGGACACAGCTGCGTGTGGGGGGCAGCTGGCCAGTGCCAGGGCTCCCTGTGCAAGGCAGTGCCAGCGTGAGGAGGCAGATGTGTGCCTGTACACGTACGGCTCATGTGGCCAGCAAAGCTTCTGGAGGGGACAAGTGGCACTGGGGATCCCAGCAACCCTCTTGGCTATGGGAGCCAGGATTCAACAGGTGGAAGTAGGGGTTTTGGCTGGGATTAACCAGTCCTGGTGTGGCCATATTCAGAGCAGCCCCGAAGCACAGGTGACTGGAGAGAGAAGGAAGGTGTTTGCATCCTTGTCGAGGAGGATGATTTCCCACAGAAATGAGTCTGGGGGAGAAAGCAGAGGAAAAAGGGAGCAGTGGGGCTGTGTGGGGGCAGTGATACACCACCCCTGATCTAATCAGCCAGACCCTGCAAATAAAAGCCACCTGTTTTGGCCCTGACAGCAGGAAGCCATCCCTAGAACAAACAGAGCACCAGGCAACTGGAAGAAAGACAAACAGGGGCCGGCACCAGCTCCATCTGCTCCTGTTCGGCCCAGCCCCCAGACCTCCGGCCCCTGGGGTGCCGGTCCAGCCCCCAGCAGGCCTGGGGAGAAGGAGAGAGCAGCTAGGAGGTCCTTGCAGGGTGTGACCAAGGCTCAGCCTATGGTGTCAGCCAGATGGACCACACACAGCTGTGCTGCCTTGGTCAGCCAGCCCAGATATTCCTAACATCAATGGGTACAGCTCTGTATTGCCACGGACACGGCGTCACCTCAGGATTCCTCAGGTAGCACCCGCCTCCCCTCTCCTGTGGCTGCCCTTCAGCCTGCTCGGCTCCCCGGGCTCTGCACTGTCCTGGGCCCAGTGCCTGCACAAGGCATGGGGTCCAGCCCCATGGTTGGCATGGTCTGGGCTTGGCATGGAGCACTTGGGTGACCTTGTGCTCCCACCGTGCCCCCGGGCTGCCACGCTGTGCCCAGTGGCACTGAGAAACATGATCTGTTTTGCTAGTGCAGGGAACAGGCTGAGCTGGGAGCTACGAGGGGCCCTTATTAAATTAGCCTATGCAGGAGGCCCTGGGCGAGTGCTAACCAGCTCCCAGAGCCAGTGTTAGCAGCTGCCCTTGAGCAGAGTCACTGCCTGCCCCCGCACCAGCCTCCCTCTGCCCCATCCCCGGCTGGGCAGGTGTGGTGGGGGCTTGCAGGTGACCTAGCCAGGGAAATGCTGGCTGGTGACAGAGACCACCTGGAGATGGCCCATGGAGGACAGGCTGCATCAGCATTCTGGGATGCAGTCAGGGAAGGCTCCTTGTGAGCGACCCCACTGATCCACTGTGCCCTGTGATGTGGCTGTTGCTCCCACATGGCTGCCCTGAATGTACCAAGCAGGAGGTGAAGCACAGCCCAGTGAGTACGTGCTGAGGAACAGGGGAGGGGCACAGCCTGCATCTGGGTTCCTCCTCTGCACCATTCACCTTCCAGTGCTTTTATCCAAAATGTTGCACGGGGATGCATGCTCCTCATGGCACACCCCCGTGCCCCATGGATGCTGTAGCACACCATACAGTGCCCCACACACTCCACTCCACATCCTAGAACAGCTTGCAGCATCCTGTGTATTCTGTGGTGCCTCACGTACTGGGGCTCTGTAGTACACCCCACAGTGCCCTGCACCTCAGTGTCCCCACCTGCCCTGATGCCTCAAGCACCCCAAACTAACCAGTGCCCTACACCTCCGTTCACCCAGCACAGGCAAGGGGTGGCAGCACCGTGGGGACACCCTGCAGTGCACTAGCTCTGCATCTTGCCTCATCTTGCCTCATTTGCCTCTTGCATCTTTGCCAAAGTGATGGATTCCCTAAATGCTGCCCAGACCTGTCTCCCAGCATTTTGAGAGATGTCCCCAGGCCACTAGGCTGCTCCAGGGTGCTCTTCCTTCTCAGGGAGCATCCCTGTCCTTCCCTCCATCTTCTGCTTCCCCAGACAGCTGCAAGAGGGTCTCCCCCTCCCTGCTAGGAGCACTTCAGGCAACGCAAGCTGAGGGTCGCCTCCCCAGCACCTGTCCCCTACCAAGGGCCACTAATGTCCCTGAGCTGGAGCCTGCTCCAAGCGCTGCCAGGCTGCACCCTCTGCTGGGGCCCGCAGGCATCGGCGCGGATTCGCACCGAGCCTCGGGGCCGTCGAGCAGCGGGAAAGTCACGAAGGGGACCCCCGAGTCCGACCCCCAACCCGTCCTTGCTGTCATCCCTCAGTCCCCGATTCTTGTTGATGCCAGGCGTACTGACCACCCCCAGCTGCTCACACTGCATTCTCCATAACCAGCAATGTCTGTGTGTCGTGTGATGTTGACTCCATGCCCAGGATCCCCAGAAGGGCTGGAATTTTCCTGGGAAGGTTTGAGGTGTTGTGATCCGGCCCTTGCCCAGTGGCCAGCATGCCACCTGCCCAGCTGAAGGTGGGGAGTGCCCGGCCTCACCACAGACTACACAAGGATGCTGCAAGAAATATAGCTGCCTAGACACCCAGGATTTCACAGCTCAACAGGGCACTCTTCCTCCTTTCCAGCCTGTGTTGACCTCGTCCACCCCAGGTACTGGTAGGAGACACTGGGGATAGCTGCATGGCATGGTGCATATCCAGGCAGGGATGGTCCTCCTGTCCAGGTGAAGGACACAGCTCTGTTCCAAAGCTGGTCCCCTCCTGCTGTGCATAGTGTCCCTTGCCCAAGTGGGAGGTAAGTGGGAGCACAGGGAGCTCTTTTTCATGCTCCAGGGCATTACAAGCACGTAACTGGGGTCCATGAGCGCCCATGTCTGCAGCCAACACAGGAACCCCTGCAGGGTCTGGCTGGAAAAGGAACCCACGGTGGCAGAGTCTCACATGGAGGGGCAGAAGCAGCCCCAGATAAGCCCTGTGTTCCAGCATGAGGACATTAGTGCCCCTCAGCTCCCAGATGGTAAATCCCCACTTCACCCTGGCACCTCCTTCCCACAAGCCTCAACCCTGGCAAAGGCTGCGGATGCCCTGGGAAAGGCTGGGTCCCTAATCCCTGGGCCAAGCGGGGACATTGTCCGGGGGCAGAAAGGAAAGCGGCGCGTCAGGCCCTTTGCCCATTGTGCCCTGAGCCCCTGCGCAAACACAGCCCAGCACTTTCATTGTCAGCCTCGCTGGGCGCGGGGGGGCCGCTCTCGCCACACTGCCTAAGTGGAATGGACAGCCGGAGTCTGGGGTGGGCGAGCCGCCCGTCCCCCCATCCCTGCCTGCTGACACAGCGCCCTGACCGCCTGCACCATCGGCACTCCAGCGCCCGCCTATAAAGGGCGAAGGGAAAAGCCGGCGCCGGCACCGCCACCTTCGCTTCTGTGCCCTGCCCTCCGACCAAGTAAGTACCAGCTGTGAGCCCCCAGGACCCCCGTGCACGGGCACTGCCGCTCCCTTCACCAAGCCCCCACCCAGCGCCCACCCTGGGGAAGGGCGAGTGGCGGGGTGCTGTGTGGCACAGCGGGGGTGCCCTGTGCGGGCAGGAGGGACCCTGGCAGGAGGGATGGAGGAGCCGGGCTGCTCTGCCCCAGGGCTACACTTGCATCTGCATCTGAGCTGCGGTCACCACCGCCTCCCAGCAGTGGGTACAGTGCCACCGCACCCAGACAACTCCTGGAGCCATCACAGGAAGCTTGGGAGAAGAAAAACTGAGGCAGTCCTGGGTACATCACATGGAGAGATGGGGCACTGCAAATTCCCCCTGCAACTTGGGGTTCACTGGACAGAAATCCCCCAGCACCGAAGGAAAGGGAATGGGAAGTGTCCCCCTGCCAGCCTGGGAGGGCAAGGGGCCAGTGGCGTGGGATGTGTGAGGGCAGCACCACGGGCATCCCAGGCTCAGCAGCAGGCGGTAGGGTGGCAGGGGGCTGATGGTGGGTGCCCTGGGGTGATACTTGGGGCTCTGCCAGCAGCCGAGTGACCCGTATGACCAGCAGTGAAGCCATGGACACCCTGGGGCAGTACAAGATCACGGTGTGGGAGGAGGAGAACTTCCAGGGCAAGCGCTGCGAGTTCCTCATGGAGTGCCCCAGCATCATGGAGCGCGGCTTCCGCAAGATCCGCTCCATCAAGGTGGAGTCTGGCCCGTAAGTGCCCCGCCAGCCCCGTGGCCCCTTGGCACACCCCGCTCCAGCAAACCCACTGCTCCCAGGGAGCTGTTGGGAGCTGCCAGGGAGCCGAACACCCAAGTTCTTCCTCGGCTATGACACAGCCTCATCATGCAACCTCCCTGCTTGTGCTTCTTGGGTTTTCCCATCTGCTAATCAGGGAGACCTTACCAAGGCAATGTGTAGGTTGAAGGCAATGATATGGCTCTGGGGAGAGGGGTCCCACTTTCAAAAGGGACATTTGCTGCTAGTGAGGACCCCAACATATGTGAGAGACCTATAACCTGCCAGGATGTCTCTGTCCCCTGCCCAGGAAGGAGAAGCTGACCCCTGACTGATCCTGGGGACTCTGTCACATATCCCTGAGGGTTTTCCTTCTCTTTCTTGCAGCTGGGTAGGCTTCGAGTACCCTGAGTACCAGGGACAGCAGTTTATCCTGGAGAAGGGTGACTATCCCCGGTGGGAGGCCTGGAGCGGGAACAGCGGCTACCGAACCGAGCACCTCCTCTCCTTCCGGCCTGTCAAATGCGCAGTGAGTTCCTGGGACACTGCAGAGGGAGGGCTCAGGGCAGGCAGAGCCTCCTCCAGGTAGCCCAGCGTGGAGGTGATGAGGGACAGACTGGAAGATGACTTACATGGGGCATGGGATAGAGGGGTGAGGTGTTCACAGAGGTTCGCATGAAGTGGAGGAGTAGCTGCGCCCACCAGCTCCCACCTCCCTGCAAAGATCCTGGGATTTTTTTAGGTCTAAAATTTAGCCTGAACCACAATTCCAACTCCTCCTGCTTTGTGCTTTGGAGAGCCACCTCCCAGGCTGGGGTTCCAAGGCCTTGTCCACGAGCCCTGATTCCTGGAGATGGGATGAACAGAGAGGAGCTGGCAGGACCGCAGGGATGCTCGGAGTGCCGGGCCCGTCCCCCTCCCAGCCGGGGTACCTGAGGCGTGCCCAGGCAGACGCGGCTCTATCACTCCATCTGCAGAGACACTGGTGCTCGCAGCAGCGGCACGTCTGCGCCTCCAAGCGGGGGCCCCCCCCCAACTTTTAATAATCACCAGGCAGATATGTTCAGGCTTTAATAAAGGGGATGCGATAAGATCACTCCTTGCTGGCAGGACTGCTCCTCGGTGCAGATAGATGCATGTGGGGGCTGGGCACGGGGGACGGTGCTGCATCACTCAGTGTCCCAGCCATTAACCCCACCGTGTCCAGCACCCAGAAAGGCCCCACAGAGCTGAAGGAACCTCTCTCAGCATCCTGCCCTGCCCTGAACCCTCCTGCATCTTTGGGGAGTGTGGTGATGCTGAGGGCATCAGTCCGTGTGGGTCCAGAGGTTGTAGCCACTAACTCTCACTGAGAGCTGTGCATTGGAACCACAGGGACATGAGAGCAGCACCCTTGGGGCAGTTCTGGGGTGTCCCAATGAAGGGGGTGCCAGGTTGAAGGACATCCCCATGCATTGCACCAAAGATGATCATGATCCCTGGCCTCTCAAAGTGCCTTGGTGTGCGTCACACTGATGCCACATCCCCCATCCCTGGGCAAGCCAACCCATTCCTGCTGACCTCCAGCTCTCTCTCTGCAGAACCACAATGACAGCAAAGTCATCCTCTATGAGGCTGAGAACTTCCAGGGTCACAAGTTCGAGCTGAGTGACGACTATCCCTCGCTGCAGGCCATGGGCTGGGGCAACAAGGAGGTGGCATCCATCAAAGTGAACGCTGGAGCGTGAGTGCGGCGGTGGGGCAGGGACTGGGGCTGCCAGGAGCGGAGGCTCAGCAGGAACCTCCTAGCATAAAACACCTGCACAGACCCCAGGATGTGGAAGGGGAACCCTCTCAGCAAAGGGATGCCTTCCTGCTACCTTTTCCTTTAAAATACAAGCCATTGGGTATTTTCTGTCCCTCTCCTCCCAAGTCACGCAGAGGGATGGGATGGGATGGGATGGGATGGGATGGGATGGGATGGGATGGGATGGGATGGGATGGGATGGGATGGGATGATTTGGCTTGGGGCTCTGAGCCAAGGGTCTGCCTGCAGGTGGGTGGCATACCAGTACCCAGGATACAGGGGCTACCAGTACGTGCTGGAGCGGGACAGACAGAACGGCGAGTTCAAGAAGTACAATGAATACAGCAGCCAGGCCCACACCAACCAGATCCAATCCATCCGCCGTGTCCAGCACTGAACAGGGGCAGGGCTGTGTGCCCTGCAGCCTCCAGGCTGCTGTGCAATAGACCTCTATCCAGTAGCAAATAAAGGCATTTGTCAAAAAAAGAGTGCTCCTGCCTCTGCTCTGCTCCTCTGGGGGCTGCCATGCTGAGAGGACCATGGTGGCAACCTGGAAGGTTTCCCCTTCCCCAGGCAGTTTTGGGCTCATGGCCAGCTCCACCCTGGACTGAGCTCTCTGCACCCCACCTCTCCATGCACAGTTCCACTGCTGTGGCATCTGGCTGGGAAAATGGGAATTTACTGGGTAAAGAGAGTGCTGGGAGAGGGCACCAAGAGGGTTGTGCCCTGGGAAGAGGTATCCAGCAGGGCTGCACCCTGGATTCTCCTCCCAGGATCAATGCCAGGGAAATCGATTGCTACAAAGCCTGCGAACTCAAGATCCCCTTCCTCTGCACCCCTCTGGAAGAGAGAAGGGTGTCCCTGCCTGCTGCGGGTCTGGGAAGGAGGAAGAACATAGGGGTCATGTGGGGCAGGATGGGACTCTGGCAACGGATGGGGCAGCCGCAGTTGTGTCAGGTCTGGGGGCACAGTTGTGTCAGATTTGCTGCTGGCACAGAGGGGTTGGGAGGGAGGCAGATTGTGCAGGAGTCAGGGGAAGGAGGTCTGTGTGTAGTGTTCCACAGGTGGTAGGGGGCTTGGCTTGATGCTCTCAGGCGTGTGTGTCCTCCCCCAGCCTTGCCACGCCAGCATATCCGTGCCAGCATCCGGCTCCGGGACACTGGGAGCCCCACCCAGCCTCCTCCTCCTCCTCCAGCACCCTTTCCAGCCTTCTCCTTTTCCATCTGGCTCTGAACCCGCCTGGGGTGCAGGCTGCCCATCCCAAGGTGCTCCCTGCACCCAGCTTCCTCCTCCTGTCCCCTCCTCCTTGTCTTCTATCCTGCTCTGGCACCCCAAAGCCCTCCTGGGGCTCAGGCTTTTGGTCCTGAGGCACTCCCCACACCCAGGACATGGATGCATGGTGGAACAGCTCTGAGTGCCTCAGATGCCTGGGTTCCCTGCTGCCCACCCTGCTACGAGCATGCTTGGCCCTGAGAAAGGGAGTGTCCCAGAAGGCTGCTGGGAGACTGGGTTGGGGGTCAGTCTATGCACACCCCTCACCCAGAAATGTGGCCCTGGTGTATGTGTCAGCATGTGCGTGTGTGTGTGTGTGTGTGTGTGTGTGTGTGTGTGTGTGTGAGTGAGCTGCACACGACTCAGCACACAAGTGTTTCCCTGCATGCCCCCTCTCCCCTCCAGCCCTCAGTTGCTGTGCAGAAGACCCAGCGCCTGTGTATCCCCACCCCACATGGCATTCTGGCTGCGGAGTGCCCCCAGCCCTCCCCTGTCTCCTCCGTGTCCCCACTGGCCCCACCCAGCACGGCCTCTCCCCCAGCACAAACACATTCCGGCACACCTGGCCAGGTGCAGCCAGCCCAGGGCCACGTCAGCTCGGCTCCGCTCCACAACGCCGGCTCACAGGTGAAGCTTTCCCGGGCACTGCGCATAGGGCTGTGGTGGGGGGGGGTAGGGGTGGGCTGTGGGGGTCATTGTAAAGTTTAGGATCCTTATTGCTCCACCTAGGGTGGGAGGAGAGCACTGGAGTGGGGGGTGGGGGGCAGACTGCCTCCTGCAGCTGGAGGGACCTGCAGCTGCTTCCAGCTCGGTGTTCCACATGTCTGGGCTCCATCCCCAGTACCCCACAGACCTGAAGCCTCATCTCCTAGATTCCCCTCAGACCCGCAGCCCAGGCCCTTGTTCCCCCATGGACATGGGCCCCTGTTTCCTGGATTTCTCATATACCCTTCTTTCCTCATCCTCTGGGTCTGCCCCATGAACCTGGGGTCACATCACTCAGGTCCCCAAGGCTCCACACGGACACAGGAATTGCCAGCTCTTAGGATCTGACACTCCCTGTCCTTCTGCACACCTCTGACCCCAGATCACTCAAAGACCCCAGTCCCCTTACATCCCACTTTAAGCCCTCTGCCCACTGCATTTCCCAGGAACCCAGGCATCTCCATCCCCAGTGCCCCCCAAAACACTCCCTTCTCCAGCTCCTGTTTCCCTAAACCTATTTCTTAGCCTGATCCCTACCTCACCCCCACCCCTCCCCACTCTGGGCTGATGCAATGTCCCTCAGTCCAGACCCCCCCTCCATGCCCTCCACCATGCAGGTTTGCTGCAGGAGTATCACGGTCACCTGGGCCACCAGAAGAGGAGGGGTTGGTGGGTCTGGTACTCTCCCCACCTCACCCCGCTGTCTCCAGGGCTTGTTTTCTGTTGCCTGAGGTTTGTTTCAGTGACTCAGGCAGCGAAAGCAAGTCTGGGAGGCTGCGGAGCCACTGCTGGGAGAGTGCACTTTGAGGGGCGGGAGAGGAGAGGGATGCAGGGAGCAGCCAGGGCTGCTGGGCTCTACAGAGTTGGACACCCCACTGAGAGGTTCAGGGGAGCTCAGGAGACAAGTTGGGGGAAGAGAAGCTTTTTGGGGGCTGTTACCTCCAAACAGGATTGCTGGGGAATTTCTGGAGGAATACCATGGTCTCTGCTCATGTCTCCCCTTGCCAGCATCTGCTCTTTGTCCGTGATGGAGATGGGCAGCAGAGGTGGAGTACCTGGAGCAGAGGTGGAGCTCAGGAACCAAGGGACTCCCTGTTTCCTAACTTTAGACACCCCCTGCCAAGAGGAGACACCAGCTCTCTTGGGCTGTGCCACCCCAATTGAGCATAGATCTCCTTGGGCTGCAGCTTCTTATGCAGGGCAGGCATATTTTGGCTGCAGTATAAATAATAACTGTGAGTCTGCCATGGCTGTATCCTGATTTCCATCAGGTTCATATCTTGCAATGATCACTTTCCAGAAAGGCAGCTAAATCCAGCATAAGAGCTCATCCTTTTGCCAGACGTCAGTGAAGCACTACAGAAGTTGTGAGCTTGGCTGTACTGTGCTGGACTCATGGAGTAGAACTGGTGACAGCTGCTGGCACACTACCTGACTGCCTCAAGCTCTGGGATCCTGTGGAGGGTCCACTCCTGACCTGGGGGACAGAGACTCTGACAGCACCCCACAAGTGCATATAACAGCTGGAACCATGGGTGACAGGGAAAACCCTGGCCAGATGTGTCTTGTTGGAGCTGGTATCACCTTTCTTCATCATAAGTTTCTCCATGAAATGTCCTCCTGTCTTCAGAAGGTACCCAGCGCTGCCCAGGACAAGCAGATGAAGATGGGGCCATCATGGTTTGTCTGGGTGTTGGGGTTTTCCCAGCTTCTATGGATCCCAATAAAGATGTGCAGCAGGTCGGGACAGGGCTGGGTGCTGTGGGATAGTCACAGGCTTAGCTGTCCCTTGGGCTGGGACTATTCAGAAGAGCACAGAGGAGCCAGGGAGGTGGCAGAGGTGTGGGATGACCTGGCGCCACCAACTGCTGGAGATGCACTTACCCCCCCAAAATCTCTGGGCACTGCGAAGGAACCCCATGACCATTGTCCTGGAGGTGGAGGGACCTGGCGGGGACTCACCTGGCCCGCCCCAGGGCTCCGTGAAGCACAAGGAGAGGCCAGAACTGCGCTGATGATGCTGGAGCTGGGAAGGGGCAGGCGCGGACGCCCCGGCCAGCAGCCGTGCGGCTCGCAGAGCCGGACGCCGGGGGACCGAGCCGGCGCTGCCGCCGGTGCCGCGCAGCGAGGGGCGGGGGGCCGAGGCGCTGCCGGCGATCGGCATCAGGGAGGAGATGCCGCACGGAGGCCGGGCCCGGGCGGTCTCCAGGCAGTGGCCGGGCCCGCTACCAGCTGGGATGTCAGCGCCGTGTTTGCGAAGAGTTAAGGAGGCGGAAGAGGCAGGAAGCGGCCCGAACCGCTCTCCATAGAAACCCGCGGCCGTGATTAAAGTCTGATGCGGGCCCGATAGCGGGGGGAGGGAGAGGGGGGCAGCGCCCGCTTTAATTACAGCGGAGGAAATTGCTGGAGCCGGGGCCCCAGCCCCTGCGAGTTGCCTGGAAACTCCCCCTTCCCCCGCCTCCCCCGGCCCCTGCCCGTCCCCTGCCCGTCCCGCTGCCATTTATTCGCCATCAGCTGCTCCCTGATAAAGTGGAATAATAATAATAATAATAGGGGCAGGAATATTAAAACATGCAGCCCGCGGGCCGCCCCCACAGCTGCCATGAGACACGGCACCGGAGCGGTGCCACTGCTGCTCAACATGTACCTGCCAGGTACGGGCGGATCCCTCGGCCGCTGCCCCACCGCAGCGCCGTGCCCCGCACAGCGCCCAGCCCCTGCCCACCCTGTCCCGCTGAGGCCCTGGGGCTCTCCTCTGCCCCATCTCCTTCCAGCGCCCACCCTGTTATCCCCTCTCCCTCTGTCCATTCTTTCTTCCTGCCTTCCAGCACCACAACCATCCCTTCCTTCTTCCTTTCAGCTGCCCTCACAGCTTTCCACACCCGCACACTCATCTTCCCATCCTTCATCAACCCACCATCACCCTGTCCTTCCATCTCTTAATCTACCCTTCTTTTCTTCCAACTCATCTTTCCACCCACCCACCCACTTTTCCCCTGTGCTTCCATGCATCCTTCCATCCCACCCACTTGTCCCTGCATCCCCCTTTCCATCCCTGGTATTAGCCAACCCTTCCATCCACCCAATGTCCCTTCCATCAGCCTGTTTTCCTGTAATCTTATCCATTACCTGCCCTTCCATCCATCGATCTCTTGCACTTTCTTTCCTCCACCTACGCACTCACCATAGTCTCTTCTGTCCTTCCATCCATTCACCCATTTCCTTCCTTCTATCCATCTATCCATTTCTCTCTCCTTTCCACAGCAGTCCACTCCCCAAATGCCGACAGTCATCCTTGCTTCCACCTGCCGCTCCTGTCACCCATCCTGCCACCCACCCGCCTCTTCTCCCTCTCCCCCTGCCCCACAGCTCTCTCCCTCGCTCCCTTTCTCCTCCCTACCCCAGCCCACGGGATCGTCTATTCCTATTTAAAAGCTTCCCCGGCTGGGTCGGAAATCGGATTTCCTTTTTCCTGGACGCGTTTCCTGGCTTCGCCGCAGCGGCGGGGCAGGCAAGGGGGAGCGGCCGGGGGCTGCGGGGACGCTGCCCGCGGGTGGGCGCTGGGCTGTCGCGGTCCCGCCTGGTTCCAGCCCTCCCTCCACACCGCCCGCGTCCCCTTTTCCCCCCAGATCCAGTCGGGGAAACTTTGTTCAAAGACGGGAAGAGCCAGGCGTGGGGGTCTCTCAGCCCCGGCGTGCAGAAAGGTAAGAGCACCGCTGCCCCTTCCCCTGGACAGGCCCCGCTCCCCTCGGCCGCCACGGAGCAGGGGCACTCGCATTATCTCTTGGAGACCCTTTCCCGTCCTTTGCCGGGCACTGCCCTTGCAGGACGCGGCCACCGCGGAGCCCCGTTCCCTCCGGCTGGGAGCATCCCGCCGCCTGTTCCCACGGGGACGGCGGCCAACCCCGACGGTCGGAGCTCCCGTCCGTGGCATCGGAGAGATGCGGGTAATTCATTCCCCCGAGCCCCGCAGCAGGGAGAGTGCAGGGTCCTAACTCCGGTCTCCCAGGAGCTCCGGGACATCCGACGGGAGGGAGCTGCCAGCCATCCCGGGCGTGGGGTGGGCTAATCCGGGCTCGGGAGATCTGCTCCTGCGAGTGGAGAGGAGAGTTGAGACATTATTCGTGAGGGAACTGCCAGTGAAATCCTGGGGTTCGGACAGAGCTCAGAGGTGATGTGTCCCCGGGAACTGGAGTCATCTGGAATAACCGGCACAGGGGCCACGGGCATCGGCCAGTGCTGGCCAGGGAGCAGGCTGGAGCTCCCAGTGCTGGCCAGGGAGCAGGCTGGAGCTCCCAGTGCTGGCCAGGGCACAGCCTGGAACCTGCATGGGAGTGCAGCAGCACTAGGCATCGTGGAGACAGCACTGTAGTGCTTGGGCCATGTAGCTTGCATCTTTGCTAGGAGGCAGGGACTCCTCTGAGCAGGAAAAATGGAGCCCTGGTTTAGTGGTGGGAGGGGGAGAAAGATGGAACTGGGGGAATCCTTTTGCCTCTGCACTGCAGGCTCTGCCCAGCCATACTCTAAACACTGTGCCGCAGTGAGAAGAATCTTTTTGGATGCCTGGATATTTCGTTAGGGAGCGCTCAGGTGCATTGTCATGGCAGGCAGAATTGAGCCTCACTACCCCACCCAGATGCACCCCTCAACACCTCCCTGACCTCCTTGCATGGGGTGGAACATCCACGAGTGGGAGATAGCTGGAGGCCAGGGTGGGGGCTGTGGTGATGGAGAAGAGGCAAGGGCTGCAGATGCGCCCTAGGGAGGAGAGATCACCTTCCTTGGTCCCAGAGTGGAAATTAGGAAATACAATACCTTAGAAAGACCTGGGTTCAACTGCCTGGATCAGGATCTGAGTGGGTTTTGGTGGAATGGGAATGGAGGGGGAATGGCTGTTCCCTGCTTCTTCTAGAGCAAGATACAGGGAGCACTAGATAAAATAGGTGGATCTAAAACAAGCAGAACAAGATGGTTTTTTTGTGGGAAATGTAGCAGAGCTATAGGATTTGTTACTGAGGTCATGGGTGCTAAACCTCTGTATAGGATCCAAGCACCTTTAGACAACATAATGTTAGAAGAGCACAGGGATAACTGCAAAGGCACATCCTCTGCTCTGGAAAGAGACTGTGCTGCAAGGACTGGCACCAGGAGCAGGGATGTGCAGGGGATGCTGCTCAGAGGAGGCAGTGGGGTGTCCAGGTAAGTGCAGGGCTGCTCTGCAGGGTGGCCATGTCCCAGCAGTAGGAGTCCTCCTTGCCCAAGGTCCAGATTCCTTCTTCTCTCGTGACCTCTGGCCAGACTCCATGGAGCATGTCCTTGTGCCTTACCATGGGTGTGTCGAGGTGTGCCAGGCTCCAGTGTGTGCACAGCCTGGCACAGGGGCACCATGGGCACCCACTGAGGATACTCCTTGGTGCAAGCTGCAGATGCAATGGCCATGGCTCAGGGAAGACATTTTTCCTCTGGAAATAAGGAACATCATTGATGCCTGATTCAAAGTCACAGTAGGTCATGTGCTGTGTCTTTGTCTCTCCCATCCCTACATCTGTCTGTGTCTCTCTGTGGTGTATTTCAGATCAGTGTTGCACCCTGACTTGAGCTGACCACAGAGACATCTGTGCAGGGCACAGTGTCCCTAGAGCAGGGGCTGTGAGACCAGCCCAGTCTCAAGCAGTGGGGAATATTTCTGTTGGGATAGATCTGGGTTCTGCCAAGACATGTCCTTCTTGGGGCTGCCTATAAAAGAACAAGGCCAGATCCTCCCACAAAAGCAAGCAAGCAGATATTCATCTTCAGTGGTGTGTGAATGTGGGTGGGAGGGATGGGGAGACTCCAGATCCAGACCCACTGCAACCTGTGTTGGCCTCTGAGCACTCCTACTCCATCTCCAGGTTCAGGGGCATCTTCTCCTCCTATCTGGGGGTGTAGGATGGGGTTGGGATGTTGTAAAGGAGGCATAATCCTGTTACCATCTTATGTGTCTAAAGCAGGGAAGATGCAACAAGGTGCAGCCAAAACCTGGGTGTGGGAGAGGGCAACATAACAGTGGGTCAAGGGGACTGGGGCACATCCTGTCCCTCACCTTGTGCCCTGGGAGGGAGCTTTAACCTCTCTGGGGCCCGGCCTTGCAGGCAGCGGGCAGATCCAGCTGTGGCAGTTCTTGCTGGAGCTGCTCTCGGACCGAGCCAACCTGAACTGCATCGCCTGGGAAGGCACAAACGGGGAGTTCAAGCTGATCGACCCTGACGAGGTGGCGCGGCGCTGGGGCGAGCGGAAGAGCAAACCCAACATGAATTACGACAAGCTGAGCCGGGCGCTGCGCTACTACTACGACAAGAACATCATGACCAAGGTCCATGGCAAGCGCTACGCCTACAAGTTCGACTTCCACGGGCTGGCACAGGTGTGCCAGCCAACCACCCCCGATCACACTCTCTACAAATTCCAGGGCAACCTGGCACCGCTGCCCTTCTCGGGCATCTCCAAACTCAACCTCATGACCTCGGGAGTGACACCAGCTGGCTTCTCCTACTGGCCTGGCTCCAGCCCATCCCTCTACCCTGGGCATGGGCTCCAGCCCTCAGCCTCGTTCAGCGCCATGGCAGCCTCCCACCTCAACAACATGAACAACCATTACCATTAGGGTCTCAGCTGTGCCAAGTGGATGCTCCATGTCCCTGGCAGCATGGGGCTGTGGATTTGGGAAGCTCAGAGGGGAGGGATGGGGGATGGGATTGTGCCCTGCTCTCACTTGCCCCCCTTTTATGTTTGATGGGGTGTGGGGGGTGCTTGCAGGATAGCTGGATTGATTCTCTGATGTAGGTGGCTGGAGGAGGGAAGCCATCTAAATTTAAGATGAAGAAGTATCCATGATCCTGGAAACGGATGTGGATACCTAAAGCAGGGTGTGAATGGAAGGAAAAACCATGGGCTCCTCTCCTGACAGGGACATTGCCCCGCCTTTCCCTTGCAGCATGCTGCCCATGCCATGAGTGCCCTTAGCTCTGCCTCCAGCCTGTGCCTGCCCTCCCCGTTTCCTGCAGAGTCAAGAGCTGGGGTCCCAGGGCAGCTGTGTCCATGAATGAGGGTCCCACTGAGCAGGGACAAGGAAAGGAGACCTTCCTTGACCACTTGGTCCCCTCACCTTTGTCTCCAAAGGCTTTGTTTCCTCCATCTCTCCTATACCTGCTGCCTGAAGGCAGCTTCTTTCAGACCTCAGGAGAAGCCTCGGTCTGGAGAGCAGATGCTTTCTATGGGTTCACTCAGACCCAGGGCAGGGCTCTGGGGTGGGAGGCACCAGGGACAAGTGTGGGGCTCACTGCCAGTCCACAGGGCAAGGCCAGAGCCTGGAGGCAGCATAGCCTGGTCTCTGCAGCTCTGCCCTCTCCCCAGTGCCCAAGGATCACACCACAGACAGTCCCTGACACCCTGCACATGAGCCCGTGTCCTGCTCATCACTTCCTAGATTAATGTTCCAGTTTTACTCCAGCTTTAGCTCCTCACATGCAGGGCTTGGTGGGACACTCTCCATAAATGAGAACATCCCAGGGACAAGGCAGCATGGGTGGTGGAGCAGAAGAAGGGATGACAGCAGGCCTGAGAACCCCAGGCATCAAGGGGCAGCCCTGGGTCTCTTCCCCTGGGTTCAAGGAGCTGCCCCCATCCTCTGGAGCAGGACTTTGGCCCAGTGGATGCACAAGAGCTGGACACGCTGAGCTCTGCACTGGCTGGGGGTGGGATTGGTGTTCAATAAACCAGAGAGGTGCTGTGACCTGTGTCTTCTCCTGTCTGAAGGGAGCTGGTAAGAGGGGGAATCACTCAGCAAATCCTCTCCCATCTGAGCCAGAACACCTTCAGGGCTGGGGTGGGAAGGATGTGGCCATTGTCTGCATCATCTGTTCTCCAGGCATCACCTCTGGTTCTTACAATCCCCAAGAGATGGGACAGGGCTGGAAACCTCTGCATTACTTGAGACTCCCCTTCAGGAAAGCCGCATATGCTGTTCTCAGGCTCCCAGGCTTGCAACAGGGATCACATTGGCTGTGCAGGGGCAACTCCCCAGCCCATGGAAGGAGTGGTCAGCCCCCACCTCCTCTCCCTTCATGCCCCAGACCACAGCAGTTCCCAAATCTGGGGGCTCCATACTGCCCCTTCTGCATCCCTCCAGGGTCTGGTCACTCTCACAGCTTTGGTGGCATCTGCTCCGATGCATCCCTACGGCCCTAATCAGCTTAAGGGAGTGGGATCTGGTATCCTCTGGTCCTCTGGGGAGGGCTCAGGCTGTGAAGTGGGAGGGCCTGATGCTGCTGGCAGAGAACTCATGAGAGCAAAAGGGACTGGGCAGTAGGCTGTCCCTACCTCCAGGGTTTCCAAGTGTTGCACAGACTGGTTCCCAGAGACGGCAGGAGATGAAGTGAGGGGGAAAAGGAGTAGTTACCCCCACGCAACCAGCACCAAGATAGGCTGGAGACATCCCCTGCCCTCAGGTTTCACTTTGCAAGGACAAAATGGGGGAAATGGCCACAACTGGCTCCCTCAGAGACGGGCAGAGGGCTGTGCCCTTGCCGGAGGAGCCTGCTTCGGGGCTTAGGTAACTGCGTGACGCAGGGCAGGACACGGATTAAGGGATGTGGGTCACTAGCAGCTCCTCCCTTCCCCCCCTTCCCGTCCCTCTGCCAGGGTCTGCACCAGGGAAGCCCAGGTGAGTCCGGCCCCCGCCTCACGCCCGACCTTGCAGCCCGGATCCCTGATGGATGGGAGGCGGGACACTGCAGGGAAAAGGAGGATTTCCCTTTTCGGGAGGGGAAGGGCCGCCGCACACACCCCGTGCAACAGGCGGCAGCTGCGCCTCGCTGCGCCCTGCTCGGAGCTCAGCTGGCACGGGCCCATCCTCTGTGCCCTGCACAGCGCCCAGAGCGGGCACCAGCGCTGCCCTGCCCGCCGACAGCCGGGAAGGAAGCGGGGCGACACCCGTGCGGGGCCGCACCAGCGATGCTCTCGCCTGCCTGAGGATGCAGCCGGCGTCACCATGGCAACTCGGGATGCTCCCGTGCCCAGGCCCCGCTGCGAGCCACCTCCCGTCACATGCTGAGCTTATCGGAGGGCTGAGCAGAGCACCACCTTCACCCAACCCAGCCTCCCCCCTCCCCAGAGCCCTGTCTGACCCAATCCACCAGCACTGCTGCTTTCTGCAGGTTTCTTCAGTCACCAAAATCACCGTCTCGGAGCAGACTGCAGCAAAATCCTGCCAATGGGCAAGCGGGGCCGGGCTCAGCACAGCTCCCCGTGGAACACCATCCCCGGCCCTGAGCAGGGTGCCCAGCCCGGGGGCAGATGGGGGAGCACCGTGTCTGGCTGTGGGGTGCACCAGCTGCTGGGAGCCTCTTTTGTGTGGCTGACAGCTGCACTCAGTGCACCTGTGGGTTCCAACCTACCTGTGGGGAGTCCTTGGGTGCCCTGTGTAGGATGAAATGGGGAACACAGTCCCAAAGGGCTTCAGCCTGTGCTGGGAAGACTGAGGGAGCAGAGCACATGGCCGAGCAGCTTCCTCTGCTGCCCTGTGATTAAAGGAAGAAGGATATTTTTTCCTACTAAAAAAAAAAAAAAAAATTATAAAAAAAAAAAAAAAAAAAAAAAAAAAACACAAAAAAAAACAAAAACAAACAAATAAAACCCCAAACAAACAAACAAAAAAAACCAACAAATGTATCTTTGTATCTGGCTTTACTCAGCTGGCAAGAGGGCTGCCCTGACCTCTTGCCAGCATGATAGGGGGACCACTCCAACTCCTCCAAAATCTTCCAGCCCCTCTGTAGGGCATCAGATGGGGAATGGATTAGTTCCTCTCCTATTTCAGTGAAGTCATGTTGCCACTTTCTTCATTTCTCATGCTGGGAAGAGCCTTTGCAGTACAGCCAGGCCATGTCTGCCCTGGGGGACACAGTCTGCCTCCCTGCCCACTCCTGCACCCTCTCCAGCTCTCCTAATTCCCACCTACTTCCTTCTCTCCTCGTCCCAGCTGCACTGGCTCCTCAGCCCCCTACACCCAAGCTGCTGACTCACATCCTCTCTCCAGACACCACCTTCTTTTGGCCTGGCTCCCTGCAAAGTGCTTTGTGACTGAGTGTGGCTCAGCCAGAGCCTGCAGGTGCAGGCAGTCAGGCTCCAAAACCCCATGTGAAGTCCCTACAAGAAAGCAACGGTGATGTTTCCACAAGATGCTTTCTCCCTTGGCAATGTGCTGAGGGCTGGGGCTGTACTGCCACCAAAAACCCAAACCTTATCCCTGCTGCCACCACCTCTCTGGTGTGCCCATCAGGGATGGCCAGGGAGAGTGTCCTGGTGCTGCTGCTGCCCAGCTGTACACTGAGACCTTGGTGTGGACTTTGCTGAGGGCTTGAGCTGAGTAGCAGGAGGGCTGGATTAATGCACTAATTCCAGATTATGCTCTAATGCAGGCCTCCTGATGAGGGAGCAGTCCCTGTTCCAGCCCAGGGGACACTCACTCCCTGGGCCAGACTCCCCACATCTGCCCTGGTCACAGCTTGGTTCTGCCTGGCTGTGCCCTAAGGAGCTAAGTCCTCAGAAGTGATGAAGGACTGTGAGACAAGCAGGGGACACTGCACAGGGAAACCTCCACACTCAGCTCTCAGTGAGCTGGAGGTAATGGCCCAGACTATGCAGCCCTGGCCTCTGCCTTGCCAGCTCTGTGGCAGAAGGATTAACCAAGCAGGGCTCCAAGGTAGCCAGTTCCCCTTCCTCACCTGCCCCAGCTTCCTGGCACTGAGCTCTTCCCAGTCTGTGCTCCTCACTTCCAAACACATCAGCCAGGCAAGGCCACAGGCCACGTTTTGGCTACAGTGGATGTTTGCCATCCCACCTCTCTCAGTCCCATGCCTTCCACTGGGCCACCCTAGGCACATGCAGAGCTCTTGCAGCCTTCCACCCAACCTGGATGTGTCTTCCATCAGATGAGACCCTGTGGCAGCATCCTGCGCTTCCCTGAGTACAAATACCTCATCAGTGAGTTTAGTCTGGGACCCTCTGACCCTCTCTCTGCCATTTGCTGCCATCTCCCTGGGTCATTTTGCCCACGTGCTCCCCCACAGGCACCCCGTTAGCAGCTGTGACTGAAGTGCCACGGAGCAGAAACCTGCACCCACAAGCCATCCCCATTTCAACACAGTAGCAGCAGCCCAAGGCTGCAGTGGAGCCAGCGTTTGAGTGGCTCCCACAGCGGCAGAAGAGACCTCCCACTCCCCTCTGCCTCAGGAACAGCATCCATCATCCTTGCAGGCAAACGAGGAAAGGCTTGTGCAGAAAGCTGGGCCAAGGCAGGTCCTTCAGCAGCCAAGCAGGTGTTGGGTCTGCATCATCCAAAATATTTTCCTCCCATGGAGCATCTCCAAGTTATTCTGGGGGATGGTGACAACTCTTAATAGCAAAACCACGGCTCCCCTGCTGTTTGTCTGACATGGAAGAGGCATGGCTTGCCAGGCTGGCTGCTCCAGCTGCCTATCAGCTCTCCCTGCCCCAGTGCTGTGGCCAGCTCATCCAGCCCATGGAGTTTGCTCCACAGACAGAGCAGTCAGGCAAGGAAAGTCCCATTGAGCTTTTTCCATGACTCCAGGTAGAAACTCCCTTATTCACATGTGACTATTCATCCCTGGGATCCACTGCCACTTAGGGTCCTTCTAAGAGCCCCATGCACCTTTGGGAAGGAAGATAAGGGTGCTTTGGCCTGAGAAGAGACTTCCCTGGGGCAGGAGGGGCTGAACCCACCGCGGGCTGCAGTGCCCACCTCTGCTGCTGCAGTGTGGAGCAGATGGGGCACCCACTGTGAGGCATAGAAAGGAGATGTGCTGCTGCTGGAGGAATTTCAGACTAGGAAAGTACCGGGATCTCTCACCTGGATCTCTGTGGCGATTGATCACTGATTTGGCCCTGTTGCTCTACCTCCAAGTCCCAAACCCGATGTGAATCTGCCCATCCCTACAACCCCAGACACCCTGTGGCTGGCAGCACAGCGGGCTGTCTCAGTTCCTCACCGCTCCTCAAGGAGCGCTGCAGGGATCACCACTTTGGACACAAGCTCTATCCATTCCCCTTGCTGCTGTCCAATAGCTGGCTCCTGAGGCCAGACCATCAATCATGCAGCAGCACAGGAGTCTGGCATGTCAAAGCACGGTTTTAAAAAGGCGAAAACCAAGCTTCCTAGCCTGAGATTCTCCCCCTCAGTACCCAGCCCTACTTGTGTTCTCTCACATGTCTCCTTTGCCCTGGGGAGAGCAGAAGCTCCCAGACAAGGTAAGATTAGTGCTACCCCTGCCTTGCTCCCCCCAGCAGCGCTACAAGGTCCTCTGGGGTAGGGAAAACCAGACATGCCTCCCTCCCTGCCTCCCTCCAGTAAGACTCTGGCTGAGCCAACGATGTATATTTAAATGCATGGGAGCATCTAAGCTCTTCTCTCATTCCTTGACATTTCCAGAGACTCCAAGCTGTCTTCAATTACCAGTCTGCAATTAGCTCTTCCTAAATCCCCCAGTGAGGCCTAGGACTCTTAATCAATGAAATACAAGGGAGGAGGGGAAAGACAAGGCCTCAATGCAGCTGGAAGCAACTTAAAAGGCTGGGGCTTGAAGCTGGAATAACCCTGTGAGTGTCTCTAAGGAGATCTGTAGGGTGGGAAAATCCTCCAGTGCTGGGAGGTTGTTCAGCTCTGGGAGGAGACTCCATAAAGCCCTACAGCAGGGAATAGAAATCACTGGACAAACACCACAGCTCAGGGTGGAAATAGCTGGTACTAATGGCTCAGGTGTCACCCTGTGATGCAGACCACCTTGCTGTATTCATCTCACTGTGCCTCAGTTTCCCTTGCTCTAAAACACTGGTACAGGAGAGTCAGGGCTCTCCTAGCAGCCCTATAGGAGGTATAAGGCTCCAATTCCACCAGTTTAAGCCAAAGTTACCCTTCCCATGACAAGATGGGGATATGACCAAATCTGGGGCGGGTTGGGAATGCCTTGTGGCCCAGACACTTGCCACAAGGTCACATGAATGTCAATCTAAAGGCACAGACAAGAGCATCCATTAGGAGAGGGAGGACAGGAGCAGCATCGGTCTTGTTGTGTTTACACAGCCACGGAAAAGCCTCGCCCAGCGCCCTGCCAGGTCAGCCCCCGTCACAGGGACATCTGTGCTGTCTTCCTGGCAGCTCAGCTTTGCCTGAATGAGCCAGATTGGGCCTAATTAACAGCTCTGCTGATGCACACAAAGGTAGAGAGAATCCAGCTTACCCTCCATGACCTGCAGAGCCAGCACAGCTCTTCCCAGCAGAGGGGAGCCCAAATGCCTGGCTCAGAGGGGCTGTGAAGCACTGGATGCAGACCCCAGCCAGCGAGCATGTGCGGCAGCTTCTGCTAAAGGAGTCCTGGAAAATTCAGCACCCTGAAGCGTAGCAACCAGTTTTAAAAAAGGCAAAGCTTTCTCATGCTCCACCCCTCTCCCTGGAGGTCTGCAGAAGCACAGGGCTGGTAACAGGGAAAGCAGCACAGCTCCCACAGCCTGCTGCTGCCAACAGAAAAAGGGAGCCCAGCCCTGCAGAGCAGAGGTGGGGAGGAGTGAGGTGAGGGAGGGCATAGCTTCAGGAAAAAGAAAACTAAAATAGAAAAAAAAAATGGAGGTGGCATAAACTGTGGCATCCTGTTTAAATTCAGTGTGGCAGACAGGCATCAGGAATTTCCATCTGGAATGGAGGAGGCCAGGAGAACTCACAAGGGTCCAGGAGACACTCAGGTGGACCAGGACTGGCCTTGGGCACAAAGAGGGCTGAAAATTTGACCCCAAACTCACACCAGGGAGTGAAACCCCCTTTGGGAAGCAGGGCCCCCTGTCCCTCTTGGGGAGGAGTGGGTCATGACCAGGAGCTTGGGGTGTTATCCCAATTGCCCTTGCACCCCACAGCCCAGCAAGTCCAGGAGCCACTGCCAGGCCCATCCAGGCCACCTCTTTATTCTCCAGTGAAGCAAAGCAAGAGGAGAGGAGACCCCCCCCCCCCCCCCATAGCAGGCCCCCTGCGCTTGGACACCCTAGGCCACCTCTGGCACAGACCCCTCTTCCCGCAGCAAGCCAAGGAGAGGGAGGCATCACCCCCTGTTTCGGGGGGCACACGGGAGGGATTTACCCGAGGGGAGGGGCTGGGCGCCCCCCCAGCGGCTCGAACAAAGGGGTATGCGGGCGGCTCCCGCGGGGTGAGGGGCAGAGTCGCCCATGCTGGGGGAGGGGGCCCATATACCACACGTGGGCGGGGGGGAGGAAGGCGTCGCCCACAGAAGCCCCCCCAGCCGTGCCCGCAATCCCCGCCTTTGTCTGCTCCGGCGCGGCAGCTCCAGCACCACGGACAGCGCCGGGAGCGCTGCGGAGGCGCGGGGCCCGCACCGTTCACATGCACCCTCTGCCTGGGCCGCCCGCCACACCCCAAAATCCCCCCACAGCCCTCCTGCCCCCGGCCCCCACACCCCTTTTTTCACCCTTTTTTTCTAGGGAAAGCGCATCCAGGAGCCTCCGCTCCTCCGCAGCCTCCCCCTCCCCCGCTTCGCGAGGGTGGGAGCGGCACCACTCCCCCTCCCCGGTCTTCGCCGCCGCCTCGGTGTTCCGGAGCGCAGCCCCCAGCTGAGGTCGGAGGCGGGGGAGGAGGGCAGCCGGATCCGGAGCAGGGAGGGTCCAAGCAGCGTCTCCGTGGAACTGACGGCCGGGGAAGGGGGAAGGCGAGGAGGATGAGGGGCAGGGGGGGGAATCCGACAGTCCTTCGCCTCCCCCGCCCCTCGGTGCGCGGCCCCTTCCGCCCCCGGCGCCGGGGGCCTGGTACCTCCCTAACGGTCCAGGCTGATCGTCCAGTGCTTGGACCCGTCTCCGCCCTCGCCCTCGCTCTTGAGGTCCTGGAAGAGTTGCGTGAAGTAGTGCGGGTCCGCGTTGATTCGCAGCATCTTGGCGCTGAGGCGCTGGATGATGCCCAGGCAGCGCTCCCAGAAGCGCCCCTTGTCTCCCTCCACCAGGAAGGGCTTGAGCGGGTAGGAGATCTCGTTGCCCATGTAGGAGTAGGCGAGATAGAGGCAGGTGAGGAAGGAGGCCTGCAGCTCCGCCTGGCTCCCGATGTCTTCGCCCCGCAGCGCTTCCCGGCACAGCAGGTAGACGAACACCAGGTTGGCCGGGGTGATGAAGCCCTGGTCCTGCCAGCCCTGCAGCAGCAGCGAGCGGTCCACGCTGCGAAACCATGAGATGAGTTCGCCGGGGCTCAGCTCCTTCAGGCGGTAGCAGCGGCGGCACACGAAGTCCCCCAAGCAGCGCAGCAGCTCGCCGGTGGACGCCTGCACCACCACGCGGCGCGGAGATCCCGGGGGGCGGCTGCCGGCCGGCGGCGGTGGCGGCGGCGGCTTTCCCCCTCCGGAGCCCGGGTGCAGCTCCTGCGGCGCCGAGGGCACTGTGGGCACCGGCACGGCCAGCGGGCCCTGCTTGGCACCGTCGGCCGGCCCCACCACCGACTTGCGCAAGTTCTCGCGGTTGCGCTGCACCACCAGCGGGTCGGGCTGGCCCGGGGCCACCCCCGGGGCCCCGCCGCCGGGCTTCGGCGTCACCTTCTTGGTGCTTTTCTTCTTCTTGGCCGAGGCGGCCACCAGCCGCTTCCAGGTTAGCGCCGAGATGAGCACGCCGGGGCGCTTCAGCCGGCTCTCGCCCTTGCCCGGCACCCTTCCCGGCGCCTTCTCGGCCAGCAGCCCCCCGCCGCCGCCGCCCTTGCCCGAGGAGGCGGCGGGGGAGAGGGAGAGCACCGTGCCCATGCTAACGCCGAGCGGGACGGGCGTGCGGGGGCCGGGGCGCCGGCACCGCCCATATGAGGCCGGGAGCTGCGGGGGAGGCGGCCCGCACCGGGGCCGCGGTGCCCGAAGATGCTCCGCCGCGCCCGCTCTGGGCTCCGCGCCCGCCGCTGCAGCCAGCCGGGCCCCGCCGCTCCCCGCCTCCCCGCCGACAGCCAATCGCCGCCGCACGGGCCTCCGGTGCGCCCGCCCCTCGCCGGTGGGCGGCGAGGGGGGAGAGCGCGGCGCGGCTGTGCCCGGCGGCCGCCGCCCCGGCGTGACCTTCACCCATGGGGGGCTCGTTCGGCGCGCCCGCCAGCGCGGACGGGCTGGGACCCGCGATGCTGTCACTGACCCCCAGCCCTTTGTCTGGGGGTGAGCCCAGAGGACAGGGGACACGGGAAGGGTCTAGGGAGGGCTTCCGAACTCAGCTGTGTCTGCCAAGTCCTGCTCTGTTTTCTTACCTACAAGGGGAGGGATGAACCTTCCCAGACCAGCACAGCCCCCTGGCCCAGCGGTGCTCGGGGTACACGGTGGGGAAGAATCCTTTGAAAACGCTAGAGGAAAGGCTGAGGAGGCGTGAGGATCAATAACGGTTGCTCAGAGGGAAGCTGGAGAAGGCTTGGGGTGGGTGCAAGGCTGGCTGTGACTTGGCAGCCAATATGAAAGGTTTAGGCTTGGTGGCTGAGCCTCATCTCTCCTGAGAACCAGCCCAGCCCTGGGCATGGCCACACAGGGAGTCAGAAGGTGCCACGGGCGAGCACTCACATGGCCCACTGTGCAAGCATGGGGTCCTTCACCCACCCTGCCTCTTCCTGCTCAGCTGTGGAAGGAAGATTTACCACCAGGCTGACAGTCACCAGCATCAGGCAGCAGTCAGCGACCTCAGAGAAACGGGATGAGACCACCTCCATGTTCCCAAGGCAAGACCAGCCAGCTCTGCTGCCCAAAGCTCCCAAACCCATAGGGAAGGAGGGGAGGGAAGAGATGCTGCATTTCTACATCTTTGCAAATGGTGTGCGATAAACCAGCCACATGCATGAGCATGGCTGCTGCTTCTCCCCCTATGGATCAGAGCATGCCATCGATGTTGCTGCCTCTCTGCTCCGTGCAGGAAGATCCCCCTTGTATTTCTCATGAGCTGCATTCTATGATGGGTGCCGAGCATCCATTAAGAACAAAACATCCCAATTGCAGGGACTGCTCCCACAAGCGAAGCACTGGGAGAGGCAGCTGGAAAAGGTTTCAAGGGGAATATCTCAAGGATGAATTTTGATACAGCATTTTATGTATGAAATGAACACATGTCATTGCCAGGATGTAGCTGCTGCAGGATGGATCCAGGCTAACAGACGGTAATGAATTATCAGCTGGGAGGAGCTAAACCAGCCCACCCTCTCCCTCCCCACTTCCTCCTGCACTGCTGATGCTGGAGGTGTTTGCAAAGAAAGCGCAGACTCAGAGCCATGTTTCAGGCTTCTAGACTGGCCTCCCGATGCTCCGGGCTGACTTGCCCCTCTGGGGGCAGTGGAGAGGCTATGCCCTCTGGCCATGGCAGGGAAGTAGAGCAAAGTTTCATTCCCACATATCCTGCACTGTGGCCAGCCACCATCCCTGCAGTGGCATCTGCAAAGAACAGGCACATGTACACACAGACCCTCACAGGCAGAGGTTTGCTTTGGGAGTGGCCAGAACCAAAGTGGATCTGGGCCAGCATTACTTACTCAAGGCCAGCTTAGGCTGGGCTAAAGTAACCATGAGGATTTGGTAAAGGGTTATAAATACAGAGGAAAAAAATCAGGACAAGGTTCCTGATGACAATTAAGTCAGCACCTTTAGATATACATAGCTGGTTTCAACCTAGCCAAGAAGATGGGGAAGCCCTGGGGGGGGGGGGGTATAAGAAGGAGCATGTTGTCTTTGCTCTCTTTGCATGCTTAAGGATTTTCTGGTGTGCACATGTGGTCTCATCAGAAACCCAGAGCTGAATTTTTCAGGTGAGGAAGCAGAGACCTTTCTGCATACTCTTGTTCCTGTTGAAGTAAAATTGCTCTCAGATCACTTCACACGAAACCTGCCCCACATTGTGTGAGCTCTCCCAAACTGGCTTCCCAGAACTCATTCATAAGCTTTTTCTTATTTGGCAGTGATGAGCTGGACTGCACAGCAGAGGCCAGAGAATTCCCCAGCCCTGGCCGGACTTGTGGCTGCACCACTCTGCTCGGTGTGCGTGCACCTCCCGCCACTCCCAGGAGGAGACATTTGGCTGAAGCCTCTTTAAAAATCCAGCTCAGGGCTGTTTAGTGATGCAGCTCGAGGCCTCAGCTATGAGCAGCAGAAAGCTCCAGGGCATTATTCCCTTCTTGCTTGCAGCTTGAGTCCTGCTGCGGCAGCAGCTCTGGGGTAGAGGAGGTCAGCAGGCCCCTAGTCCTTCTCCAAGACAGCATTGCTGACAGCGGCAAGAGCTTCCTGCAAGCACTATGGAATTTCCCAAGCCCCACAAGAACAGCAGGATGTTCCTTATGTGGGTAAAGAAGCAGCTTTGCAGCTTACATGGGAGGCAGCTGCACTTCCATGTGAAAGAGGAGGATCTTTTCCCCACCCTTTAGTTTTATTCTTCAGGCTCAAGCCCTGAGGCTGGCAGGCAATGCTGTAGCACAAGCTACATCCCTGAGACCATCTCTTCTTGGCCTCTTTTTGGTCAGCTGGTAGGGAAAGGCATAAAGCAGGAGGGAAAGGCAGCATTTCCCTTTCCCAAGGAATTTGGAGTCCCACTCCAGGCAGCAGGAATGACATGCCCTCAGATGAAAGGGAGGAATGAGGTAGATCTTCAGGCACAGTCTCAAAGCTCTCAGACTTCTGCCCTTGGCTAAATCTTCAGCTATTGGTGGGGTGGATTTGTGGGGACACTGTTGGCATACACAGATCCTGTGTGGCTAAGGGTCACTCTAGCAGGGCAACACATATTTCAGTGACCTGCTAGCACCAACAAAGGGATGCTTTCTTGTTCAAGACCCTAATCTAGGCCATGTAAAGGGGTACCCCTGTCCTGAATCAAGGGTGTTCCAGACGGGAAGATGAAGCACTCTGGTTCCCAACACAGCTGACTGGGCTCTAGAGATGGAGACAGATGGGAAGACAGCAGCACCAGGGGAGAGAAGCTGGTGTAAAACTAGTCCTGTAGGTAGTACTGTAAAAAGTATTTGAGTGAGTTAGCCCTGGGCTGCAGGATCCACACAGCTCCCTGCGGGTGCCTGGCAGTCCCTCACTGCTTCACCTGACCTGAGGCTCCCAGCACACAGAGCTGTGCAGCTCTGTCTGCCTGGCTCAGGTGGGAATGGGGGGGGCAGCTCAGGCCTTGGCTAGGCTCATGCCAACTGTCACATCTTCTCCAAACTGTCTCTGGCATGATGTTCCCATGCTGGAGCTCTGGCTCAGAAATACAAAAACCCTCAACCTGGGGCAGGACAGGTCTTCCAGCAGCCCCATGACATAAAAGGCATTTTGGAGGGTCCAGGGCCCCCTAGTCAGCTTCCAGGCTACTGAGCCATTGGAGAGTGGCTTGTGATGGGTCCTGGCTTAAAGCAGTTGGCACGTCCCCCTGCCTGCTCCAGAATAATGAATGAGCATGTGTTTGCTGGCTGGCTAGAGCTGTTCTTTAATAGCTCACTTGCTGTGCCGTGGTCTGTCTGTACTGGCAAAGGCAGGCAGGGAAAGGACTGTCTCCCTGGCAGCAGCTGCCCAGCCAGCTCCTGCCCTGCCTTACCCATGGAGACGGAGCTCAGCCTCAGTACATCTCTCAGTGAGCAGGTCTGACAGCCCTGATGCTCCCCCTCCCCAGGCTGCACAGCAGACAGCTTCCAGCAGAAGTCCTGCCTGTGTTGGTGGCCCTGGGGCTGGGAAGCCTCAGAGGACCTGGCTGGCAGGATGTCTGCAGTGCCCAGGGAGGAAAGCTGGCTTGTGCTGCTGGGTGCCCCAGCCCAAGCAGCTCTCCCTTTTCCATTCCTGTTTACCTTCCACCTGTCTCCTGTCCCAGCCCTCAAGGGCAGGGGGCTACAGCTGTGGGCCCACCAAAGCTTACCCTGCAATACCTGCTTGGTGTGGCTCAGGGCAGGGAGCAGTGCCTACCTATGGTGGCTGGAGTAGCTTGTGCAGCCCCTGCTCCACAGTCGGCCCTGGATTCACACAGTACAGCAAAGCAGAGCACAGTCAAGTTGAGCAGCCCTGTTGCAGCCCCTGGAGAGAAGCTATTTTTGTCCTGCCATTTGCTGAACGGTGGTGATGGGAATGGCTCAGAGAGCTGGAGAAATGCAGCTTCTCTGCGTGGAAAACATGCAAGGCAGAGGCGGGCTTGAATCCACATGAAAACACGTCTCTGCTTCCTAATCTATGGGCAGAGAGACGGGTCCTAGCACTGGGCTGCTGGTGGTAGAGCAAGGCGGTCCTTACTGACACAGAGGTGAGGATTGATGCCACCAAGGGGATGCTTCCAACCTACATCCCTCACAGGACTGCCGCCACTAAAGCCCTTAGGGAAGAACCTCTAAGCGCTGAGTGGAACAGGAAGGAATAACTGGGAAGTACCAAGTATCGCCACGGGCTGCTTAAATGCCTGCCAGCACACCTGTAAGGTCTTGTGGCAGGAGAAAATCCACACAGCCGCAGGGTGATAGAGGTAGATGAAGGGCTGATTATCCTCCCTGTAGCCACTTCAGGCTCCGTCGGGCGGTTCCCTGCCAGCCCGGCACGGGGAGGCGGCGGTGGTCTCTGCGCTGGAGCCCCCGGAGGGGCGAGGCGGAGGCGGGCGAGCCGGGCGCGGGGGCGGCTCCGGGGGGCTCGGGGGCGGCCGGGCCGGGGCTGCGCTGCCCTCTCGCGGCAGCCGCCCCCGCGGCGTGCTCGGCTCCCCCGCAGCTCCGGGATGTGTCTCCAGCGGCCGTGTGCCCAGCCCGGCCCCGTAATTCCCTGCCTCTCCCCCCCCTCCGCTCTGGGGATACCGCATGGGTGTCAGGGCCACCGGCATAGCTGTGGGAACATCGCACGGCTCTGAGGGAAAGCCTCTGGTTGTCCACTTGGTGACTGTGATTCCTTCTTGCCTTCT